TGTGGACTTCAAGGGGCATATGGGCATCATCTTTGGCACCCACCAGATTTCTTACCCCATATGACTTTGTACATTTAAGGGGGAAGAAAAGGGACATGGCCTTGCTGCAAAGCAATCCATATTCAGTATTTTAGTCCAAAACCAATGGGTAGATGGAGATAATCTATCAGGAAATACTTGTTGATATAACCAATGGTGACTGTATCTTTAAAGAATACTTCAACACTGTTGCTGAATTAATTTTCTAGCCACTGCTATTTCCCATACTTTTAAACACCAGTGATCCAAAGAAAGATGTACTTTAGTTTCCCAGTTTTATGGGAAATGTGGCAGTTAACTAAAATATAATTCACTTAAAAATAAAGTTTGTTTTAATTTTAAATTCTTTTTGTTGCCCAGAATTGCTTTGCCGAGAGGGGCAGCCATATACATAAATTTAAAAAAAAAACTTCTTGTTTTGTACCATCTTATAGATCTTGCAAAGAATAGACAACAGACTAGTCTAGAACTAATGATTAAAGGTTTATGATTATTTTTCCAGTTTACTCAAAAGCTTTCAACCAAAATGAGTAACTAAATAGGTCTTGACAGCAGAGATGACAGTTTGTATCTGTTTGATTATAAATTCTCCAAAATATTTTAATTAATATAATATAGTTTTAACAGAATGTATAACTATTTATGACTCATGCTTACAGAAAGTTCTTGATGACTTGCCAAATTAACTAAGATTTTCAAAATTCCTACTGTTGCACTCAGTAGGAATGTTATTTAGTACTCAAGAGGCTCTTCTGATTTTAATTGGTATGAATTCATGCCATTCTTTAACAACTGATAATATTTTTTATTCAAGAGCAAAAGAAAAAATGTGACTATCATCTGAAACTTGTGTTATTCTTTTTGCAAAATATCTTAAACAGAAACCGGATGCCCATCAATAATCATGTATCTGACCTTATAAAGTCCTCCATCTTCCCTTCCTTGAAAACTGTCATATTATCCCTGTGTTTAAAATTTCAGTGATTGGGGAAAGGGAGAAGAGGAGAATGATCAGCGAACAAAATTTTATTCCACCTTTCCCAAACTTTTAAGGCAAGTTTTAAACAGGATTTATGATAGCTGAAATTAATGTCTTAATAACAGGAGGAAATAATATTGTCTGCTTGAGAGTTTGAATCTTGTAACTTATATCTACTGAATTTTAAAATTCTGAATAATGAAAATGAATTGTTTAAATTAAAAAACATCAAGCTAATAATTCAGGTTTGGCATAACTAAAACCTCTATCATACCTTGGCTTATCCAGGTAGTCCTCACTTACTGATCGAAATTGGGGCTGGCAACCCCATCACTAAACAACAAAGTTGTAAAGTGAAATATCACATGATTGTGCCCGACTTACAATCTCAGTTCTGGCTATGGTCATTAAGTGAATCTCCCATGGCCATTAAGCACAATGTCACTTGACCGCAACTTGTGACTTCCTGCCGCTTCTCCATTGACTTGTCGGAAGCCAGCTGTGAAGGCTGCAAATGGTGATCATGTGACCACGGGGCGCTGCAACTGTTGTACATGTGCACTGGTTGTCAAGCACCCGAATCGTGATCACATGACCACAGGGATGGCCACAACTTTGAGGACCAGTCGTAAATCTCCTTTTTCAGCACTGTTGTAACTTTGAACAGTCACTGAATGAGCAGTCAGTAAACAAGGACTACCTGTAATGTAGTTTTCCTCACACTGGGTTGTTTTTTTTTAAATGATATAAAATAAAGAATTTTTGTTATGCAATTCCTTGATGGTCAATACTTGGATGGATGACCATCAGGAAACACTTAGGCTATAGGATAGGGAAGTTTAAATAACATCCCATAATGAGGCAGTAGCAAAAGACTTTCATATTGCTACCAGGAGACCTATATGCTCACAAAATCACAAAGAGTTGAGCTCAAATTGGGGAGTCTTTCCCTTTCCCTCAAAAGATAAGGAAAGTATTTGAAGTAGGAATGAAATTTTGAGAAGAACAGCCATTTTAACTGTGGCTGTTTTGCCAAGGAAGAAAGATGTAGCCATGTCTTAAATTCTGTCCTCATCCTTCCCACAACAGGGTTATAATTCTTATAATTGGTTTAAAACTTTAATAATACTTCTAAATATCTAAATCTACCTAGACTTATATGAAATCCAGTAAATTTTATAAAAATCCTTTTTGCAATTGTGTTACTATTGATTAACCCAGCAAATGATTTATCAAAATTGACTTCTAGCCCAGCTATGTTCGTTACATAGATATGAAATAAAAGGCTACCATATACCATCACACTGTCACATATTGTGATCATCTTCAGTTTCAGTAAGTTTCTCAGGGGATGCAACTGTTCATTCACTCCAGTGCTGACATGAAGCCATAAATGCTTGACTTCCAGTTTTTCAAAATTTCTATCCTTGCCACCATAAAAAGGAAAGTTATAAATTCTGAATCCAACAGACAACTATTATCGGCATCAAAGTCAGAAAATAAAAGTAGCATTTCAGAGAAGGTAACTTGTTGGACTATAAACTCTGATATAATCTGCAATATAATAGACCAACATTGGTGATCAGTTGGCAATGAAGCCATACATGGACCCAAGTCCACAATACCCAATATTCAGGACAGTATATTTTACATTAGTTAGAAGTGAGAATTGCCATATACAATGTAGTTTTTAAAATCTTTGCAGAGATTAATTTAATCAAAGGACTGATCCATAACTGATCCCATAACAAACAACAATTTTGTCATTTAAGACCCCTTCCCAAGTTATTTTTACCCTAATAGTAGCATATTTTATTTATGACTAACAAACTTGGAAAATCTCATCTCTGGTTAGTATTTCCCTTGACAGATGCGACAGCTCAGAGTCTGAAGGATCTATCATATTCTCCCCTCCATCTCATCCAATTACTGAGTAAAAACAATTTCCCTTATTTTATGAGGGCTGAATTGGTTCCAAAGCAACTTTCTATCTACCTCATCAACAAGATTACGGGTAGTCCTCGCTCAACGACCATTCATTCAACAACCATTCAAGGTTACAATGAACAAATGGTAGCTACGATTGGTCCTTGAAGTTACAACTGTTGCAGCATTCCCACAGACACGTGATCAAAATTCAGGTGCTTGGTAGCCTGCCCATACTTAAGACTGCAGGGTGCACCTCAATTCCCTCCACCCACCCACCTACCTCCCCATTTCTGCCCTTTTGGCTGCCCTGCATTCCATTGTCGCCTACCCCTGCCGCCCCCAGCTGACCTTCCCATCTTCTTCCTCCTGCTGCTGATGAAGTGCTCCTGGCCGAGGTAGCCACTGGCCCTTCACAATGCCTTGCAAGGCCTCTGCAAGGCCCTGCAGAAGCCTCATGAAGAGCCAGCAGCAAATAAGGAGCAACTAGCCAGTCTGCATGCTAAGCTAAGGTTCTGTCCTTAGTGCAGTCTACAAGTAGATATTTGCTTGGAAATCAGCAGATAACAGTGAATAACAGAATATGAACAGGAGCACAAAGCTGACACAGAAGAAATTGAATGTCATGGAAAACACACAACAATGTTTAAACTCCCGGAAATAATTATGGAAAAGTCAGTGTTGAGAGGATGTTGCTTCCTGTAAAAAATCTAGCCAATGACAGTGACCACTTATTAATGATGTATCCTTCTGGCAAATTAATTTCTGGATATACATTGCCAATGTACCTCAGTAACTAGAGCTGATTGTCTGAATCCTTTGAAGAAGACACATATTGCTCTTCATTTTCAAAATGAAAAGGTATACATACGTCTCATGCAATTCTTCTCACTTTCATTGGCTAATCCGAGGGGTAATAGGGCAAAAGCAGACAGGACTGGCAATGCCACTTAAGCCTGGAATTAATATAGCAGATATCCCTTCCCCACAAAAATGGGATGTGACATGGGAAGGGAGACACTGACCCACTGCACACCTGGTATAGCTTCAGCCCACTCACCAACCCTGAGCTCTTAAGAATAGGAGGGATGGCTTATTTTCTGCTCAGATGTCCCCAGTTGCAGACTTAGTTTTTGCTCTGACCCCTTGCTGCTTTTAGAGACAGATCACAAAGCCAGGGATATGACCCATAGAAGAGGATCTTGCTGAGGGCAGTATCTGTACATGGAAAGGTCAGCCTGTTTATCAGCTCTTAATCTCACCTGCTATCTGTAACAAATCTGATTCCATTCTAATGAGAACTTAAATTGGGATGATGAGTTTCTCTGCCGTTATAACCAGGGGAGAGTAGCAAGAAAGATATAATTAGAATAGCTGGGAAGAAATAATTAGAACAATAGCATGTTCACCAATTACTGTTGAGAATGGGCTGTTCCTTTCTTGTTTTTGGAATATACAGTGTTTGTGTGGATCAGTATCACCAGCTCGTTGCATTTTACAATCTTTTGACTCCTCTGTTTCACATATTGCGCTAATGGAGTTTCTCCTGCTCTGACTTACCACCTATCATGATGTTTCAACCCAGCCACACAAATCTAAACCAACTCTGAGATCTGTAAACCTGGTTGCAATAGTAGTATAACCTAAAGCACCAAGGGTGCCACGCAGACTCTGAGCACCCTATTTCTGCCCTCTAGAAACCTCTCTGAACATAATTCCTGGAGACTGTAGCAAGCTGTCTTGCACTTTTGAAATGGAAATGGCCCATAACCAATCAATCAACTCTGTATATGGTAGTGTCAATTAGGTAAATCGTTTTTTTCTAGATGCCCATGCCAAATGCCCAAGCCTGGAATAGATCTGGAAAAGGAAATCAGATAAAAGGGTTCACTAATATGAACAAAGAAATGCATCCCAACTGACTGCTCAGAATCGTAATGTTTCCTTTCACAAAGAGAGTTCTGACATCTTTGCAATCCCCTTCTCAAGGAAGTTAGGCTGAAAAGCCAACCAGTGAATAACGTCATGGCAAACACTTTCTGATATTTAAACTTACTGCAAGAAAGGTCTTCCTGGATCCCCAGCTGCAAAGGCTATTCTTTTTTAGCATCTCCTATGTCATGGACCTGATGAAGGACTGGTGGGAACAGCACAAACAAGACGCAGCACAACTGCTACCTCCTGCTGTAGTTCTCCAGCAAACTGCATTGTAAAAAATGGATGACAGCCTGAAGGCTTCTGAAAGCTGAAGACACAACAATATCAATGAGTGGGTGGGTGGGAAAGATGTCAGCCAATTTTTTGGGGGGAGCTAAGGCTTAACAGGTGAAAATGAATATATTTTGACTCAGAAATGCTTCCCTTCCACTGTTATTGTTGCTCTGAAAACTAGTGCCACTGAAGATCAGCCATGATGTAGGGGTGCTCTTGGGCCATATTCTGGGGGGCTAGGTTCATCATGTAGATCGCCCATCCCTGAGATCACAAAGAGCCATTGCTAATGTTCATAAATTTATTCAGGATCTTGTAAAGTCAATAAAAGTAGCAGTTCTCACCTCATCCTGTAGCAGAAAATTCCATGGGAAAAAAACACAATTCTTCAAAAATCTCCTTCAGTATTTTTATTGTTATAACATTTTGCAACCTTTTACAGGCTTGTAAATCTTTCCTCTACCTGAAAACTTTAGTTTCTTCTAGAGTCCAGTTTTTGAAATCATGAAATTCCCTATCCTTGTTATGTCTTGTAAAAACCAAAACAGGATCTATTTCCCATGAGAAGCTGCTTGTTCTTTATAATTAATTCCAAACTCTTATTGTAAAAGTTTCAATACTCCAATGTCATCTGGACCCTTAGTCCATTAATAACATTCTAAGATCAGAATCTTATTTTGCTTTTTGCTCCTTATTTCAGATTCTTTAAATTCTTAAGGTTATGATTAAAATTTTCTTTCATTCAGGATTGAAGGCATTTTCAAGCTTGTCCTTCCGAAGGTCTCTAATAGCTTAGAAGTAGTTAATGAGCAATTTCCGAAAGCGACTGGAAAGTGAGGTTTGCAAATGTAGCGTCCTTTAAACGTCTCCGCCAAAGTTGCGAGCAAGACGAACTTCATCATTTTGCTCTGTGCATGGAAAGGACACGAGTGCTGGACTTTGCGTGCTTGTTCCCTACTTGCCCATGGCCATGATGTGGTAAGATCATAAGGCTCTGTTGTAGCAACACAGAGATTTAACAATGTATGTGTCTTTTAACATGGATGTGAAGATAGGTAACAACTCAAAACCACTACTAGTTTTCTGTGACAAGTGTGTGATTGGTACTCAGGTAATTTTATAAGGAACACAACTTTCAAACTGTTGCATAGATTCTGAAGCAAGAAAAAGCTACTTTAAAGGGGTTCATATTAAAAAAAAACCCAAAAAAACAAGCTTTCTCACCAGATACCTTCCAGATATGCTGGACTTTGGTTCCCAGAATTTCCACTCAGAATGGTCACAGAGCAAGAAAAATTCTCAAGAGAATAGCTAATACGTGGGTCCTTGTATTAAATGTGTCTGCGAATGCAGGGATTCAATTCCTATGCATTTATACAACTGTTTTTAAAGTCTCTGGGATTTCTCATAAACCCCGGCTGATTGCTACTGTTCACAAACTCATATCAACTCTATGTTCCATTCCCAATTCTAAGGCAGTATCTTGATAGCCTGATGTGAACTCATAAGAATTCTAACATGACTGATATATCTAAACATCGCCCCCTCACCCCACCCCCAAAATCTTGTTTCATACAATTCACATTTAGCAGTTTGGGGCTCATTAATTCACTAGGGAGTTTGGCAAGTCCTTTGCATAATCATGTGTAAAATTAGCTAAGTTGTGCAAGATAACAGTCTATTCATATTTCCATTCACAGGAGAGCGGTGCTTAATTAGCATTTATACTGACTATAAAAGTTACTGGCAAACGCAGGGACTGCAATTGGATGTTTTCTTTTTCCCAAAATATGAAACAAATGGAGATGGGTTCCTGCACATCCATGTCCTATCTTTAAATATGGTGTTGCCCCATATTATAAGTGGAAGACTTGCTGAGAAAAAGTACATGTTCAGTGTGCAATTTATGCATCTCAAAGCTGTGAGATAAGCAAGCTATAAGCTTTTTTGTGGGGCAGAAGGATGCAAACACATACACGCAACCATATATATTAAGAATTTTTATAATTAGTATGGGCTCTATGAGCAGGGAAACCAAAAAACAGATCTACCGGCATGAAAGGAAGTTTACCTTTGCGCTAAGTGTTTTTATGGAAAAGCTTCTTTTAAAATTATATTCATGATACAGGAAGAATAGAAAAGGGTTTGAAAAAAAAGAGCAGAAACATCTTTAGGGTTGTGAAATGGAGAGTCATAAAGAAGACCTTTATAATACTTCTAGTGCGACCATGTTGGTCTTATTTATCCAAAGACTCAGAATACAATAAACCAAGAAAGGATTACAACTTTTATTAAAAGTTTTATTCACTCAGACACCCCCCCAACCCACAATACAAAGTTTAATTGGACGAAGTTAGGTTTGAATTCCAGAAGCATCAGAGCAGGACACCCATCATACACAACACCTGGTTCTACATGATGACACCTACAAAGCTTAGCCAATTTTGAGAATCATTTTTTGCTAGTCTTCTTAGAAGCCTTCTTTTTATTGTATGTTTTTTTCCTACAGAAGTATAAGCTAAAATCTTCCTGAACAAATCTTTCTTCTTTTATGGCCTATTCTGACTGTATTCCATCTCTCATGTACCATACATGTCCATTATAACCACTGGTAACAATATGGCAATAAGGCTTTATGTGGGTTTGTTACATAATTAAGAGGCATTTTGTTAATTACCTTCCTACATGAAAAAAATGAACCCTGAGATAAATTTTAATTGTTTTTAACCAGAAATAAAATTACCACTATGGCGATTTGAAATTTGAAAAATATGATTTGAAAAATATGAAATTTAAACTCCTGTATGTATTTCTTAAGAGGACTTGTGACAAAAATGTATTGACATTTCTTTGCGGTATTTAATGCCTCTCCTCTTTTCTATTACTATGCTTAATAGTCCAAAGTATTCAAGACAAGGCATCCACATCGAATTCTACAATACTGGTTCAGCTAATGGGCCATGTGCCTCCGCATTATGCACACAAATACATAAGGGATGGAGCTTGAATCAGGGCATCACAATATGTTCTGTCATTTCAGTGAAATCTTGGCTTGCTGTGAATGCCTCTGGACGGCACTATCATGTAATATCATGATTGTTCTCCTACAAAGAACCACAAGGTTACAGCAAAAGGGTAAATCCATAGATCATCCTACCTTGTAAAGAAAGATCCCAGGTTCCTGTTTAGACCAAAAAGAATTAGTAATTATTGTAGAATATCAATAACAATCACCATATTGTTACCAGTGACTATGTATTGATTTGAAATTGCTTGCCTTGCAATCCCTGGAGACCTGTCCATGGTACCTCCAATTAAATAGTTTTAGAAAGAAAACTTAACCTTAGCATTAAGAAAACTTAGTTGTGAATTCTTTCTACAATGTCCTGTATAGTGAAAAAATATGTTTGCCTAAAATGTTTAAACTGGAGACATCCTTCTTATTGTTAAAGAAGCCAACAAAGTATAATCTGCAAAATGTAGCCTGCTCAGAAATCTCTTTTGTTCATGGACAAGCCAGCTAGACAAACACACAGACACACTTAAAAGAGAAGAACACAATTTCCTCTTTCCCCTTGGTTAGATCTGTACTGAGGAATCAGATTGGACTATTACAGATTTTTTTTTTTTTTTAATCTTCAACGTTCTTAGTGTACATCTTGGGGAGAAAGTCAAAGCTATTATTTATAGAACATAAAGTCACATGCTTTAGCCCTGCTACAGAAAAGGGCTAATAGGTGACTTTATGCTCTATAAGTAATAGCTTTGACTTTCTACCCAAGCTAATGGCAAACTACTTCTGAAAATGCTTCCTGCAAAACTGCACAGACTTGTCCATCTAGTTGCCAGGAGTCAAATCTGACTGGGGTGGGGGGAGAGAAAGATGGGGGTGCATATCTGAAAGAAGGCAAGGAAGACAAACTACAACTGAACAGCAACAGATGCTGTTGGTCCCTGGTTACTATTCTCTTAAGGACTGACAAGTAACCCAGCCTGAAACTCCAGAGGGCTGCTAATGAGAATATTAGGGCTATCCTAACTGGTCTGCAAAAATCAGGATGTCCAATAGATGGCTGCAAGGAGTTAGAGGTTTCTGTACTGCCTTCTGCATTATAATACAGGTAGTCCCCGGGTTAAGAATGCCCAGTTTAAGGACAACCCATAATTAAGAACAGAGCCTATTCTAGCAAAATTTGAGTTAAATACACAATGGTTTGAGTTCATTACACAATACTACTTATACAGTATTATACAATAATACTATTCCATCTTATGTACAAATTTGACTTAAGGACAGACCGTGGGAACAGAACTCATTCTTAAACCGGGGACTACCTGTAGCCATCCCAATGTAGACAGCCGTGATGTAGCAGCCCTGCAGAACAGACAATGCTGTTAGATACAGATAGGCTAAGCTAGCCTATAATAATTCTGCTGATAAACTAAAAGCAAGGAAGTTAATTCTACGGCAGAAGAGGGAACAACTCTGAGCAGCCCCAGCAAGCAGGGCCAAGGATGAACGATCCTGGAAACTAGATAACAGGCCACAATCTCCCCAGCTTGGTCCTGTGGTCTCACATACGGCTTATTTAGAATTGCTATGCCATACTGAGTACAAGAGATGTAGGAGAGGGAATGCTGTCTGCTGAACACAGAAAACTGCAACGACATGTACTTTTCACTCAAAAATGAGGTCCGCTGTTCTTAGGGGTTCTAGTTCTTGATGACTGTATGCCGTCAAGTCAGTGCCGACGCTTAGCAACCCCACAGACAGATTTTCTTCATGATGATGTATCCCTAACTAGGTCCTTCAGGTCTTCCAACAGGGCACCCAACACTGTTGTAAGGGAGCTCCTCCACCTTGCTACTG